CTTACAATCTAAATAGTGTTTTTTTATTTAAAAAATACAAATTAAAAAATAAGTTTTTATTTTTATTTTAGAAGGTAGACAACTGTTTACAGAATTTCAAAGCAAGCCCATCTGCTCAGAGAAACTGTCTGCCATGAAAAAATATCCTCTATAGTTGCATAAAGCTTAATATGAGAAGCTTACTGAAGTTGTAAGTACATAAACATATTTTTTTCCAGAAGCACAACTCTGCAGGAGTCTGCACTGAATGTGTCTTATTTTGTTGCAATTCAGCTTGCTAAAGTATGTTCATTTTTGGTTGGTACAACTGTTATTAATATAGTTGAGCCTGAAATATTTTAAAGGGGCTATATTGTGTAAAATCAACTTTTTTGAATTTTATGTCATGTTATAATGTTATCCTCTCATCAAAAACATGCCCAGAGTCGTACTTTGACTCATTCATGCATGTTTGAGAAATCCTGTGGTGTCCTGAGGCAGCCAGGCAGGGCAGCAAAATCAACCGGTTGAGACTAGAACTGTCTTTTGGGTCTAGCTCCTCCTCTGGGATGTGTCTCCAAGCCGAGCTTCCTCAGCACGGAGCACACCTCCCCATCCCCCACCTCCTGCATCCCACCCATGACTCCTCCTGCAGACTCTCGGCAGCAACAAAGCAAACAAGTGGTGAAAATGAAACTGTCTGCTGAGCTCCCAATACTACTTCTCAGTGCGACCATTTTCAAATTATAAATACCGTTGCGGAAATGTATTTTCAGTAAACTACACTGAGCTTCCGTGTCACTACCCCTGTAGAGAGAAACGGCTGTGATGACGTGCTGAAATGGGCGGGACAGAAGCGGAAGAAGGTTCTTAAAGAGACAGAGGCCAATTTCAAGGTGTTTAGAAGAGGAAGTGATGAGAAGACAAGTTTATTTTCCATTTAAACATAAAAACAGCATTTTAATAACAACTAAAGGTGACATAGATACTTTATTATTGTATAGAATTTAAATATATGCCTGAGAAACACATAATATTGCCCCTTTAAAGTTACTGGTCTGCATGTTGGATTGATAAACGTACACAAAAATTTGCAAAATGAGTTTCATTAATGTGCAGATTTTGTGGCCCTCTGGTCGTGTCAAAAAAAATAACTTGAGACTTTTTCCATCATTTAAGTTGGCCATCCCTGGTTTAGACTGTACTTTGTACAACTTAAGCAAAAAATAAAAATAAAAATGTGTATTTGCATGATGCATACATAAGGCCCCACATGTTGTATCAGTAGATTTGAGACACCTCTTCTCCTTTTATTTTGTTCTACATTTACTTACAATTTTTCCAGGAATACCCGGGTTCCCTGGTATCCCGTCGTTTCCAGGGATACCCTGAAAGAAGGAACTGAGGTTGAACTGGTTTGTTGCCATTTGAGGGCTGGCCACTCCCATCTCCACCAAGGGTTTAGGCAGAGTCAAAGGGGCAGGGTCAAAACAATAAAACCGCTTTCCTGCCTACCATGCCTCAAAGCTCTAATGAATTTAAAAGTCCAAATAAAACTAAATCCTTCATATTGATTTAAAATCAGTTTTGAGTTCAGTTATTTTTACCAATGCACCCTTGTCAAAGACATGGTCGCTTTGATTCATTCCCTATACTGATACTTACACCTTTGACTCTTGCAGCGGCGTCACTTTATTTGAAGGTCTGTTTAAATTAAAACACTTCACAAATGGGTTAAATGCACACTGTTGAGGAATCATTACATGAATTTGCAGACTCTCATTTAGATTCAGACCTTCAAATAACTGGTCATGTCTCAGCTGACATTCTGAAAGCTTGCTCAGTTGCTTCCAATTTGGGTTAAAGCTTAAAGCTCCAAACGGGTTAGTGCATTTTAACAACTTGATTTGCTCTTTAACCTATTTATGTTCAAGCTCTTGCACACATACTTTGTTCTTTGTCAGTCCATTTCCTACATGCATATTATAAATCCCCTTATGAAGCAAAGCATGTCAAAGCCTTATGAATGAACCCAAAGGCCCAAGCTGAAAGTCTACATCATACAGAGCCACAGGGAAGCTTTCAGACCCATTCATGTTTACTGCACTTTATATTTCAGACTCCACATAAATTCAGTTGCGTATGTCCTAATATTGTGCTCCAAAATGACAAAAACAAACATGGTTTAATTTACTTAAAAAAAATCAAAAGCCCTGAAATTATATTTCAGTAAATACAGTCCTTTATGTTATCATAGTTGTTGTGAGTTTTCACATCATAATTGAATAAAAGACAAAGTAAGCAGTGTTTGGATAGTTTTCAATTTATGCTACTTATATTTCCTATTGATTTATAGGGCTGTAATAATAGAACATGATGTTGTCTTCACTAATGAACATTGTTTTAATCACACTGGTAGACATTTTTAGCCCATGCAAAACCTCTCTGAACAACATTGGTTATTATAAAACCTTTAATTTGGATTTATTTCAACCCCAAAACTATTTAATGTCAGTAACTGTTCGTATTTAATTTATTGTATAAACTCAAACCAGTATCTTCAACATATTATTATTATTATTATTATTATTATTATTATTATTATTATTATTATTATTATTATTATTATTATTATTTAATATTATTGTTTATATAGTTACTGAACTGTCCAGTACAGCGGAACAGTTTCCCAATTATTTTTGTCTACACTCAAGTGAAACGCATTGGTAAAAAATAAAATAAAATAAAATAAAATAACTCAAAATTGTAAGTACTTTCAGTACTCAGGTATTTTTTTAAACATTTGCTCAAGTACTTTAACTTAAGCAATAATTTGACTTTTTTTACTTTTACTTTTTATTCAAGTAGTATATGACTAGCAGGACCAGTACGTTGTCCTTCACTGGAGACAACACAGTGAGGGGGGTAAAGTATTATAAAAAATAATAATATCATACTGTAATAAAAGCAATGATGATTTTGCAAATGAATTATGGACAGAAATATGAAAAAATAAATTTTTAATTAATTCCCAGATGAGTCTGAAACACTGAAAAAGTGCAGATAACTTGAAAAGGACTGGAAATTTCCCATCAACATGTTAAAGCTATAGTTTAGATATTATGAAGTGGGGTTTTGTGGAAAGCTTTGTAAACAATACTATGTTACCTGTTGCAGATGGTTCTTTGAATGACTTCATTTTGTAGAAACAGAGTATAAATCTGACCATATTGGCAACTAAATGAATAGTCACAGGGGTGCTTTGACTAAAGCAGGATTGTTGCCTTTTTAAAAAAGTTCAGTCTCAAAATGTTTATAGTGATACATGCAAAAGTTTTCTTAATGGACTATTACAAAAAAACAACAACAACAAAAAAACAACAAAGAAATAAGTATTTAAAATAATGTTTGCATGATGAGCTATAACATTTTTGAGATGGAGTTATTTTAGAGGAATAGTTCAGAATTAAACTCTAATTCTTAAAAATGAGATGGTTCTAGAGCTGCCTAGAACAGGTAAGATATAATTGTTCATAACCTTTCTCATAATCCGACTTCAAAAAATTAAAACTATAATTTTATGTATATTCCAGTTCAATTCAGGTAAATGAAGCAGCTCCTAAATTGAACTGAAAATATATTGTAATCACCATCCAGCAAGCTGTTTTTTTTATTTTATTTATTTTATTAATTAATTTATTTATTTTTGTTTTGTTTGTTTACCTGGGGTCCTTGGATTCCATTAACTCCCTGAGCTCCAGGGGGGCCAGGAGGGCCAGGAGGTCCTGGGGGACCCTGCAACATACAAAGCCATGACCACAAATGATACCAAATAATTCACAAACACAAACTGAATAATATGTGTAACAAAAAAAAATACAACAAATCAAAAACAAACAAACAAAAATAAAAAGAGCCAAAGCTTTCAGACAAAATGTTATTTTTTAGACACTTCTGCTGCCTGACAGATCAGACCTGGGGCCCTTCCTGCCACATGTTTGTTGCAGTTCCTGGAGCTCCCTGGAAGGCAAAAATAGGCAAAATCAAGAAGCAAAGGTGCACGGTGGGAAGTTAAAATAACTGTCAACAAATGTCAAACCACAGAGAAAGAGAATAAGAAAGAACCAAACATTTTTATCGTCTCTCAGCACATCTTTTATAGAGTTGTATTAACCATTCCAGAGATGTATCAATCTAGTCTATGCAAAAAAGCTCTTTTAATTTATAGTATTTCCTTATGGGTGTGATTGAGTTTGTGCAATTACAAATGTATACTCACAGGCCCACCTACAAGTGTTGACCCTGATATACATTTGCATTCTCCTGGTTCACCCTGGAATACACAAGAAAAATAGAGCCGTTAAAGTAGTTCAAAATAAACTGTTTCCACAATTTTATGCCGACAAAATGGCAGCCTTGTTCTACATCAATACTGCTATTGCAACAACAAAAAACGCCAAAATATATATAAGAACTGCAATTTCTTCTTTTTCTTTTAGATCACCTTTTGTTTTTTTGTTTCATTCAGCTTCATTCTTCATTTCAAGATTGTATCTAATAAAACTGTATTGTCTAGACTGTAAGTCACAATGTTTCATAGTTTTGTTGGTACTGCAGCAGCTTATATATATATATAT